GCATATCAGATTGTGGTGCGACGTACATGCACGTGACAGCTGCAGTATGCCCTAGAATATATATATATAGAACAACATATTAAGGAAAATTTCTAACAAATCAGCAACAAAATTAATTAGTATAAAAAAAACTATAATGAGCAAATTAAGGAACGCGTGTAGTCATAAAAGCAATGTTTCATTTTTAATGGCTACTGCACTACGTGACGTATAGTAATACTATTTGTTAGCACAGTGATAGCTGAATTTGAAGCAAATGGTTCTTTAATAACGAATTCTCAAGTAAAACACACAGTTAAGATATTGTTAGTGTTGTTTAAAAAACTGACCTTTAAAAATATATTCCAAAGAGTTGCTCATAATATGCCACTTCTGCACATCACCTGAGTTTGTGGACAGTATCAAATGTTGTCGAGAAGGTGCTACACATATTTCACGTATAGGTCCAGTACCTGATACAGTCATTGTACGTATTTGTGAAGGTAAAGGCGCTGGTAACCAACCCGTAAGCGGTACTAATAGTGGCACTGCATAACCATCACACCAAGCGGTAGCCGAACGTACTGTGATGCTGAGCAAGGAATTATCGTTTTCATCGTGTTCGCTAATGGGACGTAACCAAGATATCAGCTGGAAAATAAAAAAAATTTTAAATTATAATTTATTAATAACTTTTTTTGTTAGGATTCTTTACTTACTTGCGAACCTAATTGCATGGGATCACGAGTTAATACATCACTTGATTTACGTATCGTGTAGTAAATGAGTTCAATGTCTCGATCAAGTAAGTAACAGCGCACATGTTCAATCAGACAACGTAAATAGCTTATAGATACAGTTTGAACCTAAGTTGAGTAAAATAAACAAAAAAATTGTTCTTTAAGGCAGTTATCGTGACTTCGAAAAAGTTTACATGAACATTTGAAGTTTCTTTTATTCAATTTTCAACAAATTTAATCCGCAACTGTGTTGTCTTGTTCTTCTGTTCTTCTTAGTTCAAGTAAAGACAGTGTTCAGTAAAGTTGGACAAGTTGAACAGCTGGTGTTCTGAGATACTTTTTAATTGACAACGAAAAAGTTTCACAATGCAATGACTTCTTTGAGGTATTTGCCTTTACAAACTTGCATTACAGTACATTATTAAATAGTCATTAACATGAATATATTTTGAGACGATAAGTTTTTGAATATTTTATTTTCATATTTTAGGAATTGATTAAAAGTTTAAGTACTGGTATGGAAACTTCAATTTCAAGCTCTAATAAAGCAGCTAATGTAACTAATATCATTTAACTTACAATATCATTAAAATAATCACTAAAACATTTAAAAATATCTAAATATTCTTATCACGTAAAATGATTTCATTTCAACAAGTCCAGAACTACAACTTGCAAAAAGCTCCTTAACTATACTACCTTCATAAAAAAAATTGAGGACATCATAATTAGTGAATTAATCTTATTTTAATTTTTTTATGTTAGATTTTGTGAAAAATATTCGTTAAAAGTAATATGTATAGTGAAATTATTAAATTATTTAATAAATTTGTAGAATATAAATCAAAAGTAATGTTTTTTTATAATCTATATCAACTTCAGAACAGTTGATCCAAATGTTCCTCTAATTAATGGATCGGACATCTGTGATGGTTCCGGACAAGATGTTCAACAAATTTTCACTATACGTCATATATTACATTTTTGATGAAATTTTATTTAATGTTATTTATTTAATATCATATATTCCACATAGGCATGCAGTTAGTGCTCAACTTAGCGTAAAAAATTGAATAACTAGAAAAAATAAAAGAATTTAAGAAAATGACGGCAGTTGATAGTATCACCATAATGAAAGAATTTCGCAGAGGAATTGTTTAGCAAAAGTATAAATATTTTCTATAAAAAATTTATTTAAAATAATAATGGGTATACTATTACAGAATTGGGGACTTAAGAAAGAAGAACTGGTAGAGGTTTATTGTAGTTGCTTGAGTAGAAGATGGAAATAAAACATCTTGGCTGACACAATTAAAAGACTTCAAACGATTTAATCTCTGAAAAAAATTAAAACCTATTATTAGGTCCTTAAATGCTGTTAGAAATTGCTTAAGTTCTATTGGTTGATATGTATAAAATACTTTGCTAAACGTGTTCTTCATTTAAATTTACTAAGTGAGGAGTAGTTCATTATAATCAACGTATAGACAAAAATACATCTTGGAAATTTAAGTTTATTAGTATTTCAAACGTGAAAAATCTCTAAGGGTTTACCAACTTTTATTTAAATATGCTTTCAGAAAGTATAGACACAATAATGGACAAGTTTTCCCGTTAATAATTTGAAAAATGACATTTTTATGCTATATACAAACAAAATAGACCACTTCCACTATTACAGATTTTTCTAGTTTCCATAGTGAAACTATATAAAACGAATAGTCTGCTGATGATAAGAATCTTTTATGTATTTCTGACTTTTAAAGTAGTTTTAGTAGGTTGCATGAGACTTGCTACGGCTATGATTTCCACCTACTGTAAATTACTGCAGAAATAAGTCAGATCCCACTTAGCAAACACGATACCAGTCGCTAAAGTCATGGCATTTCATGAGTGATGAAGACTAAAATCTATCATTAAATATAGAGTACAATTGTTGGTATTCTATCGTCAATGCTACACAACAACAAACAATTTTATTTACATTTTTGAAAATGTTTTAAGAATAATTTTTTTGTATAAAGTACAAAAAAGAGACATATAAATTTAATGAATAAACAAACTTTTTCGGTATTAGATATTATGAAAAACAGTTTATTTTTATTACAATTCTTATCAAGTTTTATGCTTTATTTTTCATTAAATTTGTCATGATTAAAATCGCCTTTTGACACTACATTTTTGCTGCTGCTTTTAAAATAAAAACTCATAAAAAAGGTTTTGAAAATGTTAGTGAAAAATCATATAAACAAAGTTAACTCATAAAAATTTAAACTTTAGTGATGAACTACATTCGGTTCATTGCTTTTATTGCTATTGTTGGTATAGGTTTTTCCCTTTGCTTATTTAACTTTGCTTTGAATTTAAATGCATGAAATCGTTGTGAAGGTGTCCTTGTGCCATATTAGTTTCTTGCATTTTTTTACCGCACATCAAAAACATTAAAAACACTTGGTAAAGGATAAAACCGACGTAAAAAATCTAGGTGAGCTTTTATTTCAGCAGAAAAAACTTTGTTAATAATTGTATGGACTTTGTTACTGGGTGTGTACGTATGTCTGTGCTGAGTTTTAAAATTTATTTTTTCAAACCTACGCCTTCCCCATTCATCCTTGTGTATGTTTTGATTATGTCCATGGCTAGGCATGTTGATGTTGGTTTGTGCTGGCATTGCTATGTGGCAATATTGCAACGTGGCCTGTTGAGACGATATTGCGTTGTGTTTATTAAAAAACTTACTTCCTGTGTAATCGTACCGTTCGCTTAGGCCCGCACACAACCGTCATAACTGGAAAACTTTTTCAGTTCCACAATGCTCATTTCGTTTTTTATGGGTTCTTTTCTGTGCCATTGCAGTTTTGCCCTTTACATATTATTTAACATCAATATTTGCTGTGTTTTGTTATTCAACTTTTATTTTTTATTTAAATTTTGATAAAATTCTGAGATGAATTTCAACATTTGAAAACATTTCTAAGTTTGTAAGCTGTGTCTTTTTGATTATTAAAAATAATTATTTAAATGTTTAATTACGTTGATTATATTATATATTATTGTTAGGAAAGTGGCACTGCGACCGTCAGGTTTATTGTGCCCCTTGATTATATATATAAACCTGGGGTGTTCAAAAAGTCAGTTTTAAATCAAAAAATTTTAATTTGTGGCGGCTACTTGACCTATGACATAAACAACTTGAACATCGCGTTCGAACATATGAATAGTTGAATGTAAATATTGTAAATAAGTACCTCAAATAAGGTAACACTCCTTCTGAAGTGTAATAAAACTACACAAATTTTTATTTACTTTTAACTTTTAAATTCCATCTATATGCACTTCCAACAATAGTATCCCAATTATTTTATAACTTCAAAAAAAATACAATACCTGAGGTTCTCAAAATATTCATTATTTGCAGGGACACTATATGCATTCGGTTGAAATTTCCTTTTTCTTCTGAAAACCCATTTTTCCAACTTCCCATTTAAACAAAAATCAGACTGAAAAAATCTGATGTGATGGTTGGTATCTTCGCATAATATTACTGTTGCAATCGCTTGTCACGGATGATGTTATGGTGTGTACATAGTTTATTGTTCTGTGAATATGTGACTTATTGCAAAGCTACTTCATATACCATAAAGAAAAGTTATTAGAATAATATTTTATAACTTTTGTTAAAAACACCATGCTATATTTGTAATAAAGTGATAAGCAAACACCTAAGAATCGTAAGCGTTAAAAAACATATTAACAACAGATTCATGCTAACACCGCTTTACATGCTTCTAAAATCATTATAACTTCTTAAAAATATGCATTAATTTTAAAAATTCACAATACATCAGAATGATTTATAATTTAATGGATCATATATCGTAGTCGATTACCCGAGACGTCAAATTTATTATTGAGTTAAAGTGCTTCAGACATTAATAAAAAGAGAAGAGAACTGCTAATGTTAAGTCAATAATTTAGCAACTTCGTCTATTTACAATTATTTGCTTTTTAATCTATAAATTATACTTTACAGTTATAAAAGAACCTTTTAATAAAACTTTAACAGGCCATTATTTACGGATTGTACTTTGAAGAAGTTAATATAAAATTTAATACACAACCGTAAAATAATTTTCAGAGCAATGTCTCATACTAATATTAAAGTATATGTAAACCAATTTATAATTTGATAAAGTAGAAGAATGTGTCAGAATTATATACACAATTAAAAACTATTTATATATTCTGGATCCTCCAATTTGACAACGAATTTAAGTAAACTTTTTATCAACTTTTTCCACTATGCTATGCAGCATTTTCAATATTGTTCATTTTTCGATATATCGGGCTATAGATTTGGATAGTTTGACTTGAAAACCACCAATGTTAAATTTGTATATACTAGATGGCCTGTATACCTTAGATGGGCTGTGTAAGTTTTGTTAGTACTAATCAATATAAAATGTTTACTACTTAAACCCTTAATGGTGGAAAAAATGATACAAAATAGCTGTAATAACTGGTCAAATCAGCGTGCTTGAGCAATTGGAATCGTGTCAATTATTTATAAATTCCATTACCAGGTGAAATTGCTCTCAGAAATGTTTTACAGTTTAGACTTTTGTGCGGAATTCATATTGATTTTCGCATTTACTCTTCCAACCTATAATCCGAAGATGAAGGTTTGTTGTATTCCTGTGACTTGGTGCTCCATTGATTATTGTATAGATTATTATTATAAAAAGTAACTAATTTAATGAGTTAACATTTAAAATTAAATCCTTTCTCCTGTTATTATTTGTATTAATTAAGTCTACAATTTCTTTCGATGTCTCTATGCGCCCATTTGATGCAGGATTGTGCTTAACTTTTATTACAAAGAACGTTGTGATAATAATTGCATTATTTTGTTAAGAAGAAGAGTGGACATTGTAATTGCATGCTTGTTACAATAATGAATTTCTTTATATTGTACTATAGAGTACTTCTCTACTGCAACAATTGACACCATCTTGAGCGAACTATCTTCAACGATAACAAACAACATTTTTCTTTACAAGCGTAATTACAGTCCTTTCAAAATCCTAATAATGGAAAGAAAAACTTAAAAATCCATTGTAAATAGACAAAGCAACAATACATATTTTTGCTGTTGTTAGCGGACAGGATACAAATGATGTATTATGAAAATGTAAGAATGTCCCCATGAAATATTTGTAGTTTTTCAAAAACAATATTGTGGAAAATGTATTTTCAAAATAAAGAGCTTAAATTAAAAAATAAATACATTGACAATAGTTAAAAAGGGAACAAGAAAAACAAGGAGTTGATATCTGAATGGATACAAGGAGTTACTGCTAACAGCCTACAATAATATAAATATAACTTTTCTCCGCATTTCCAATTTAATGTTTAAAAGGAAACTGTTAAGAAGCATTCAAATTGAAATCCATAGCTATTGAACATATTATTGTCGCCACTGGCAATAAATCCTTCATACTCTAATACAACAACGATGTTTTGTTAGGTCATTTAAGTATATAAAAACAAGCTCAAGTAAAAGTTATGTACAAGTAAAATGAATATATATATAAATGTGAAATATATATAATTATTATAAAATTGTTTCAACGCTAATAATGTTTATAATAAGCGTCTTTTCTTAATAGACAATTTGTCGTACATTTCTTTTTTTTATTTTAAGTGCAGTTGGTTAGCACTTGTTAAGTTTTTATTTCAATTTTTTATTTAACCCAATTAAATCAACTATTTTGGATAACCGAACTCATCTGAAGCTTAGGTAAAGTAAACTATGTTAGGCTTCATTACATACATAGGTTAGACACTTGAGAAAACAAACCTACCGATATAAGGGTCGACCTCTGGCGACTGTTAAGCAGTGATACAAACCTACCGATATAAGGGTCGACCTCTGGCGACTGTTAAGCAGTGATACACAGTTTAGTAATATTATAATTCTTTCTCTCTATGTCTATGTCATTGGTTATTTAGCTCCTTTTTAGTCTAGAAAAGTTCTATAACACAGCATACCAATACTTGTTTGAATAATGCGAATAATTTTAAACTAATCTTTTATTTTGTTCTGTTCTGATCGTAGTTGAGTGATATTTGTTCTGTAATTTTAAAATGTTCAGTATATATAATGATTTCGCCTGAAGATAATGAGATGAGCATATCAACTGATGTTCATAGAAATCATATACCATACTAGAACTATCAACTATATCTTCACAGCTTTGAACCTATTTTGAGTTAATCAATACATTTATCGATATTTCATTCTAAAATATATTATGTTCTAAAGGTAAAGGTGCTGTTAATGGAACTACCGCCGCTTTTTTCATACTAAAATTATACATGACAATAATTATATAGAATTTTCTTAATACGTAAAAGCAATAATTTATTTAAATTTATTCATATGAGAAGTTTTATATTACTATTGAAATTTTTTTTAATTATGATTCATTTTACAGCACATTTAAATTTCTAATGATAATTACTCTTGAAATAAAAGTTTTATCTTATTGTCACTATATAATGTATATATATAATCTTATTATAACAGAGTTTAACTGGTCTATGTATGAAGTATATTAAAGCCTTTATTTTTGTTCTGTACTCACCGCTGCTAGTAAAAAATCAAAGTTGCATACTGCAATTTGCTTGAACTTGGCTGTATCGTCGGAACGCATTAAGTGATGCCAACTCTCTTCAACATGTCGCATGCTATACGAAACGTCAACCGCAATTGGATTGTAGAACGTTGAAGTATCATCATTATGATGTGATGATGATTTACGACCAGTAGAGATGTTATCCTTTTCCTTTTGACTAACTACTATAACACATTTATTTTCATTGTTGATAAGTTGACATAGATGGAATTGCAACAAAAAGAACAGTAATAAAAATAAAAATAGTAATAATGACACAAAAAGTATTCTAAGTACATACTCTATATCGTTGTTACTACTTGCTAATCCAATTTAACTCACCTGAATGCTTGTCACTTTCTTCTGTTTCTTGTTCACTGCTACCTTCTTCAGCATCCTCCCCTTCTTGTTGAAAGAATATATTGGCAATGGCTATATGCATGGCACGTGTACTCTGTGCATCCATGTATCGCTGTTGGGATAAATGTGCACAGTAAGTGTGTCGCCACTGTATAAGCACTTTGCCGGACATTATTTTGTCATGCAAAAGAAAGCCTTCGGTAGAAGAAAATTAAATAAAATTCAATTACACACTTAATTAGGCTTAAATGACTAAATATTTACTCATTTCATTGTGAATCCTTTTGAATGTGGAGAAATTAAAGTTTCCATGTTCGGTTTCGACAAATGCCTCTGGCTCATCGGTGGGCATTAATAATTCCAAGAGCTCAGTTTCCGTCAGTCCATATTCAGCGCATGTGATGTACGCAGCTAAACGACCGAAGCCCTTCTTTCCATAGAATTTCTCAAAATAATCAAATTGTGATTCCAAAAACTGCTCAAAAGCGATATCATCACTAACAGAAATTGTGTTATTCATAATTGGCTTCCTTAATTCAGTGCGATTTTCAGCAACTGTTAAATCAAAAAGAAATTCTGTCGATCTAAAGCGATCACGTTGCATTGGTGTGAATTTCAATTGATCTATAGCTGTTGTTGTAGAGCATATAAGTTGCACATTCCATGGCAATGAAGTGGGCAACCAAGATAATGCAGCTACAATATCGCAATCCAGTGGATTTAATAAATGCAAATCATCAATAAAAAGAAACAAAACATCATTATTCATATCCTCAATACGTCGTAATAAATTTTGGAACCAATTATTTATATAGTTCGGATCGAAGGATGCATCTTTTGGTAAGTAACCTTCTGGTATATTAAAAATAATAGAAATCTGTTGACATATAACACGTAATAATTCTAAATTGTAGGCTGAACGTGGAGTAGCTGCAGCAAAACGTATAACTCGATGTACTCGTTTTGAACTGAACCACTCAGTGACCTGTCGATATAACTCCACTATTAAAGCACTCTTACCGCTTCCGTGGGGTCCGCAAATAAAATATGGTGCATGTCGACTGCCATTCCGAAAATTTGCTAATAGATTTTGACGTATGATTGTAGGCACCTCTGATGATATTAAAGAGCCTGCATTTTGATGGTCACGAAGTATGCGTAAATGCGTAGCATGCTCATGAAAAATTTCCTATAAAGTAACAAGTTCAGTTGTATTGAGTATTTTTCAATGATTTAAATACTGTACAGATACATTTCTAAAAATTAAAAATTAAAAGTTGATTAATTTAATCAACTTACTTAATTAATAAAATATTAATGAAGAATGAAACGATGCTTTGTGGAATTTTACAGAAAACTCAAAATTTTTTAAAGTGATATAAAAATTGTTTATAAGGCTGTAATTATAAATACAAGTAATATATATATAACATAAATAAAAGCATAAATCAGAACTAGAATGACTAATAAGAATTATGCAAAACATGTGAATAATTCTATTTTTAAAAATAAGTCAATACAAAAGTGGAGCTTCATGTTTGTTAAGGTTCCTAAAAAGTTTTCCGCTTTTGGAAGCTACAAGTAATAAAAATTAAAGAAAAAATGAACAATGTATGGCAACAAATATGCAAAATGACATGGGAGTCAAAACAACATTAGACAGCATGTCTGTTAACAACAACAACAACAACGACAACAACAAAATAAATATTCAAAAAATTTTGAAACAAGAGGAAAGGATATTATTTTTTATGTTCTGTGTTTGGGCATCCTTTTTTTGAATAAAAAAAATATGTTGACATAGATGTGTCTCATGGGGCACATACGTTATCATCCATTAAAGTTACAGAACATATTTTGTTTCGGTAGACTTTGAAACCCAAATTATTTGTTTTTTTAGTGAGTGTCAGTGCATTTTGGGTAAGCATATTACATTTTTGGACTATAAAGGCTATTAAGAGTAACGCATTAAAAACCAATTAAAAAAATTTATGCTATTATCAGTATTATTTTCAAGTATAAATCATGATTTTATGATAATTGCTTTAAAATATTAATACTTAAATTCAAAAGTTCAAACTTTGTTTTTGTTGGATAGGAAGGAGAAAGAAATTAACAGGAACTTAATTGACATAATATAGTTCCTAAATATCAGGTATTATACGCAAGAAGTTATTCAGATGCAAATAAGCTAAGGAAGCTTAAGATTTTGATCAAATACATTACAGTGAGAACACTGTACAGAAAAGGTTATTAATGTCAGTGAAATAAAAAAGAAATATATGCATATATTTTAGATGTATGCACAGTCAGAAATTGTTTGTTACTATTAATATTATATAAATAATTTTCTCAGTATACATCATCAACATAAATATTCTTTCCAAAAATATTAAATATTGTTTGCTTCAATTAATGTGAGTTTGAGCACAAATATTGTTTGGATATATTCAGGGTGAGCTCAATAGTGAAGTGCATGTTTTTCATATAAAAGACGTATGTGACCTACTGGTCGCCGCCAATAGGTGTGAAATATAACATTTAAAAAAATTTTATATATTACCTATTATTAGAGTCTGAGAACTATTCTAAAAACTATATTAGAAAATTACTGGGGTATCTCTAGATGTACTCATACTTACTCATGTAAAGACTATAAGTGCAATGGATTATATTCGTTAAGAACTGTCAAATTAAATAAAAAATAAAATTTTACCCGATAAAGATAATGATAACGATAAAGATAATTTTACCCGATATTGAAGCTATTGAGTCGAAAACCAAAGCTAGAGATTGAAAGAGTTGAATAGAAGTTGTAAAGGCCTTTGAAAATGTATCATGAGGCTGCCGTTTTACATATTAATTAATTTAATGACAGCTATATATTTAAGTCCCCGACATAAAAATATTGTTAATTAATTTTTATTTTTAACTAGGCGCAAGTGAATAAATAATAATAAAAAAAATAATTTCAATTAAACGAATGTTTCAGTTTTTACTGTAAATGTTTAATATAATTCTAGTTGTTTTTCTTGCGAAGTTTTTTATTATCACAACTGGCTCTTATATCAGTTACGCGAATACTTAAAAATATGGTTGCAATTGTGCAGAAATTCGAACTGACACACCAACCTGAAACTAATAGATTTATTCTTATTACATTACTTAAACTTCGAATAGTACTGCTATTTACTTGTCAATATTGCTAATAAAATTAAGTTTGCATTCAACACTAAGTCCTGTGACAATAATAATATTTTCTATACATCAAAAGCTCATATTCCATTCCTTGCAATGTCATTGCCAATTTAGATGAACGACTATTTGTGCATTGTTGTCATATATCACAGGAGTATTTTCTTGTTTACTGGTTTTCAGATTGTAACGGCCAAAATTTTATTAATTAAAATTTGATCGTTACAACGTCGTGTGTATAGCTGTCTACTAAACACAACACGATCACCTAACACACAACAAGAAACACTCACTTGAACTCATATAATCGACGGTTCCTGCATTGAAAAATAAAATTTGTTAAGTACGGATAAGCACATTAACTTAACCAACTCACCGCGATCCTCTGCCATCAGCGACGTCATTTTTGCATTTGACAAATTCTGAACTTGCATGAAAGTTATTTGTTAATGCATAACAAATATATTTGAATAAAACAATAATGCACATATCTTGAGCTATCGTTGGGTGTTCTATTTTGCTGGAACTTTATTGGAAAATAAAATAATTTTAAAATAATTTTCTAATTAATAGAATTAAATACACACGTTCACCGGCACAACACGTTGTAAAAAAAAAAAAAAATAGAACAAAATCAAAACAAAACAACACGAGCTGTCAAACGAAGAAAGCTTTTGTGGAAAAGGTGTAGAACTAGGGCGAAGCTTAAAGAAAGAACAAGTTCCAGCTTCCACATGAGAGGGAAAAGTAGAATTCGCCCTAAAGCTAGACTTTCGCTGGTGCATTGCAGAGGGATCAGTTCACGAGCTTCGATCAACGGTCGTTGAACTTTAACGTACCAACAGCTGGCACCGTTGATCGTTGACGGTATAAAAGTTGCGTACACTTGGAAGAAGGTCTCTTGTCTGGTTATGTGCGGTCGTGAAAAGGAAAACTCCTGGCGTTAGCAGCAGCGGAATTTATTTAACTAAGACGGCGGTGATATTATCAAAAACAATTAAATAGTCTCAGAAATAGTGTAAAATCGTATCTATAAACAAAAGAATTATTTAAAAATTAAAAATTAAATTATTTGAACCAGTAGAGTTGTAACAATCGAAATTGAATTTTTAAAACTCTTGTTGATAAATTGTGAGTACGCATAAATTAAAATTTTGCACGAAAAGATTGTTTTAAGAAAGACAAACTGATTAAACTAGTAAATGTGTTAATATATAAAATTTAAAACTCTTATTGATAAAGTGCGAGTACGTATAAATTGTAATTTTATATGTAAAAATTATTTTCAAGTAAGATAAACGGATTACATTAGTAAATGTGTTATTACATGAATTTAAAAAAATTTAAAACTTTTTTTTGATAAATTGTAAAGACTTAAAGTAGAGTAAAGAGTACTTAATTTAAAAAAAAAAATAAAATAAAACTAAATTTGTATTTAGCTATTTATTTGATAATAAAATGAATATTAATAAATTTAATGAATAAAATAAAAAACTAAACGAGCGAATAAATTGAAAAAAAAGTGTTTTATTAAAATAAAAGCAAAACAGGTATAATAGCGAGGGCTCATAGGTATAACTACCGCTTTGATAGAGTTCAACACAAACTAGCTTCTCCTGATCGGTGTAAAATCAAGGTAGGAATTCAGCACAACGACACAAGTGAGAGACACAGGTAAGAAAGATTCGGGGCTTCAATAGTAACTGAATCTCGGTTGTACGGGGTATAACTCACGTAGCTTTAATAGTCACGTGAGTCTATACTATAGTGTCGGAAACGATAGGTAGCTTTAATAGTCACCTAACGTCTCCGGCCCCTGGGCGCTTTAACAGTGAACAGGGAAGGGCGTGTGATCAGCGACCTGTAATACCACTCACGTAGCTTTAACAGTCACGCGTGCTGGTATTATATTGTGTCTATTTCAGTCAAGTGATTCCTTTGTGTCTGTGATTCCGATTGGTATTCGAACCTAGGTATCTGTAATTAAGAGCAATCAGAAGTGACGGGGTCTCACTAAATAAATTTCTTGTGTGGACCTTGGGGACGGCTGAGTTCAACCCCAGCTTTAAACGAACCGAAAAGGGTTCATTACAAGTGGCGCCCGAGCAGGGACCCTGAGACCAGCACTTCACGACTCGAATAGCAACTGTTTCAATATCAATAACGAGGTGATATACACACAACTAACATGGGCAGGTCGTAAATATTTTTTATATTTTACGAAAACATGACTTAAGAACCTCAGAGAATTCGGGCTGGATACTACGGAATAATGTAAGACTTGCGGCGGTAAATAACAAACTTCGTAACACAGGGAAAGCAACATGGAATATACACGCGACAGAGAATATAGTGAAACATCAGAGCGACATAGCATGATCAACGATACAACAGCAAGGCAGTTACATTCACATCCGCAATGTGATGTACACTCGTATCTTCCTCAAAGGAACACACAGGCAAGCGTCATTGACCAGGTCAGAAAATGGGCGATCCGGTATGATGACAACAGCGATCCATTGACGTTTATCGAGCGACTGGAAGAATTAGCGGATCTGTATGCCATATCAACGAACATGTTGCCTCGGACAATGCCCCTGTTACTAGATGGACAAGGTTTGGTGTGGTTTAGATACAATAAGAAAGACTGGATTCATTGGGAAGCGTTTAAAATGGATTTCTTGAAGTTTTTCCTGCCACATCGGTATTTTGAGCGGTTGGAGGACGAACTAAGGAATAGACTGCAGAAATCGGGAGAGCCGTTTAAGAAGTATGTGCTGGAACTACAGAAATTAATGAGACATCTAAAACTAAATGAAGACGAGAAACTTGAACGATTTTACAGAAACAGTTTGGTTGAATACAAAATGTATGTCAAACGCAGGGAGTTTAACACCTTGGACGAGCTCATTGCGTTAACTAGCGATTTTGAATCCTTAAGAAATGAACAGAAAAATCTTAAACCAAAAGAAACACCGATGCTGATTGAACGAC